GAATGCCGCAATCATTATTATCGGAACGTGAGCAAAGGCAACTCATTGATTATGCAAGCGGAATATTAGCAAGCTCCATCACTGGACCGACTTGGTTTTGTTTTACTCACTCTGCATAGGTTCCGGCTACGCCGTACTGCACGAGACCCCTGTCTGAACAAAAAAAGAATCCAAACATGCTGTCCAACAATGTTCCGGGAATGAAGAACGTTCGCACCGTTGCGGGATGTTTGAAACGGTGTTGACTAGATGAAACCACAGCGAAATCGGTTTTCTGTCTTTATTAATCCCCGCAACTACAGATATCTGCTACGGTCGCCAAGAGCTTCCGCAGTTTCGTCATCATGTACTCTTCTTCTGAACCATCGAACGTGTGTTGTTGAAATTCCCATAATCTCTGCAAGTCCCCAGGGAAATTAGCGACGGACATAATTCTCAACTGAATGCATGCATCTCCCTGTGGCTCACGGTGTGGACCCTTTCCGTTCGTTTAGAAAGTGAGTTTGAAGGGGCCGAGTCTCAACAACTACAATTGGTGCAGCAAAACACGTCGTGGTCAACCAGCATTGTTGTCACTGGCTATGCCCCACGGTCAGGGAGTGACAAGTCACTGGTACATTACCAGTGACAGTCCTCCGATCATCTCTCTTCCATATGGGGATATTGTCATTGCTGTTCTCTTGTATCGCCATCATCCGTTGACCGTCGACAGTTCCGCTATGCGGTCTATAAGAGTCCACCACTGTGACCTCTTGACGACTACTCTACTGGGGTTAGTGCTGGTCACCTATTCCTTCTCTATTCGTTCAGCAAAACCTAGTCGTCGGTGCCGGTCACCCTCCACTTCGAATTCGTGTCAAATTGCTCACGCTGCTCCATCCTGTCTACATCATCAAACTTGGTCGAAATGCTCCCCGTCACCTCCACACTTGCCATTGTCCTCTTGGCATCTACCGTCTTCTCAGTTCCCATCAGCAACACTCATACCGCTCCTTCCAGTGGAGACGCCAACACTCTCCAAACCAGAGATTGGGATCAAGCAGAGCTGGATAAACGGTGGCTTGGATTTTTCAGTTCCACGGCACAGACTATTCGCCGTGTCGCAACCAGCGTGAACGGTGTCGCAACCAGCGCGAGGCTCGGTTTCGCAAACGGCTTGCAGGCCGGTATTAATGAAGGGGTCAAAGCGGGAGTCCATAATGTCGTCAAGAATGCCGTCAAAGGTACCGCTCAGAAGGCCGCAACTACATCACTGCAGAAAGTGCTCACCAGTCAGAAAGTCATCAACGCCCTTAGGAAAGCGCGTGTCGAAGGCACTAGGGGAAGAAGAAGGGGAGTACAGCGCGACCTCGAAGGGCTGGAAGATGACGAGATTTTGGCACGGGAGCTTTTGGGAAACGAAGTGGAAAGGCGAATGGGAGCACGAGAATTTGAGCATTTGGATATGCTAGACTGAAGAGTTGAACTGATCCTACGCTAATTAGTAAAACTGTATACATGTCTCATCCAGTTGAAGTCGATGTTTTTTTGGCAGCGAGTTGGTGTCAAATGGAAATGCAAGATGGCAGTGCACGGTGTGGACGTTTTATAGAGCCACATTATGTTGGTCACAGTATTCAAACATGCAACATGAGGATTGGAATAAGGGCCTTAATATGGAGAAGTAAGTGATCCCCCCTGTTTTTTGGTCTCGGAGCTGGTCACCTTCGCAAATCGTACACATGCTCAATCCTCAACCTCAGTGTCGGCCACCATTGCATCCGCATCTCTCACAAGGAACCCCCCCCCCCTTCTCTACATAAACTATGCTGCTGTCGACTCTTTCTCCTTGTGGTCCTTTTTACAACCACATTCCGCTGCATTCAGTCCACTCTCACAAGGATGACGTCACGGAGTCGGTTTTAATGGAACGGACGGCCGTCCCACCGGGAATGGTAACACCCAGCCTCGTTGTCAGTATTCCTGTCGCTCGCAACTTCTATGAAGAATGCGAAATTGCCCCTTGGCATGCACGGGGCTTTGCTGGCGACGAAAATATCGAGTGAGATGTTGCTGCCCGTTATGTTGGCCTCAGGCTCCAGGAGAACGGGCTCGTCACTAGGAATGGCAACGGTCCAGTCCGGTCCAGTCCGGTCCGGTCCTGGATGGTCCCAGGATCGAAAAGCGCCAGTCCAGTCCAGTCCACTAAATGCTGACATAATTCTATTGAATAGTCATTGTGGGGTCATGGCATTGAGCAGGAGAAAGCACAGGCGAGATTCATCATGTAGCTGAAACAGCATGACAGTCAGTCAGATGATATGCCGACCTCTTCCAACACCATGACATGCCCGGTCAGAATCCCTGCAATGCAGAAACTGTCAAACTCTGCACCCAATTGCATGGCGAAATGGTGGCTGCGTGGGACTGGACCGGATTTTCCAAAAGTGTTGGTCCTGGTCCGCTCCTCGGACGGTCCAGTCTTGGACTGGATCGACAGGACCGCGGTCCTCAAAGTCCGGTCTAAGACCGATGCCATCCCTACTCCGAAAGGGTATAAAGACGGTCGCGAAGAAGGCCCTGAAGTCGTTGGGGGAGGCCTCGGGATTGGTCGCTAAGAGATGTAGATATGCTGTTCTGCAGACACCCCCCTTGGATGAGGGTGTTGTTGTTTTTTGGGGGGGAGGAGTGGACCGGCTGTCTCGGGTGTATCGTTTGAGGCGTCGACCTGAAGGAATTTTTCATTCCTTGTATCAGATAGTGAGCTACTTCTACAATGCTGAGGAGTTCGTCTCATATCCCAGAGCGCCCTTCAAGTTTGTAATTTGATAGCCATGCGCCCTCCGTCCTCCGGTACGGAAAGGGTCCACACCGTGAGCCACAGGGAGATGCATGCATTCAGTTGAGAATTATGTCCGTCGCTAATTTCCCTGGGGACTTGCAGAGATTATGGGAATTTCAACAACACACGTTCGATGGTTCAGAAGAAGAGTACATGATGACGAAACTGCGGAAGCTCTTGGCGACCGTAGCAGATATCTGTAGTTGCGGGGATTAATAAAGACAGAAAACCGATTTCGCTGTGGTTTCATCTAGTCAACACCGTTTCAAACATCCCGCAACGGTGCGAACGTTCTTCATTCCCGGAACATTGTTGGACAGCATGTTTGGATTCTTTTTTTGTTCAGACAGGGGTCTCGTGCAGTACGGCGTAGCCGGAACCTATGCAGAGTGAGTAAAACAAAACCAAGTCGGTCCAGTGATGGAGCTTGCTAATATTCCGCTTGCATAATCAATGAGTTGCCTTTGCTCACGTTCCGATAATAATGATTGCGGCATTCCGACAGGCATGAACTGAGCACTGTGACCAGCATAGATCACGGCAACTCAATCAACGAACTGAGCCGGCATGCAGCTGAGTTGAATCAGTATAATTGTGTGCTGCTGAGCATCATGTCATGCATGTAGCGAAAGATATAACAATTCCGGAATCCTTTCTCACCTTGTCAACGCAGGTCAAGCCTC